CCCAGCTATGAAGAAGCAGTCCAGGGAAGTTAGTGGCACCACCATGGATACTGATGATATGGAGGTTGATTAATTACTGTAATATTTCTATTATTACCAATTTGAGCGCTGTTCCGCTTGGGAGGGGCATTTTTGCATTTTTGATGGTTCTCGATTTTCTCTAGATCGGTCAGACTGACAGGTCTCATTTTGGTGGAACCTGTAAACTCTTGTAAAGTTGCGGTATGGTACAAGTGGACACGTTTAGTTACAAGAGTTTACATGTTTCCACAAGGTGGTCTGTTCAGAATTTACTGAGTACCATTCGTCCCCACCAAGCCAATCTGCCCCTTATTCGATCTTATTTCAGCCGTTCGTCCCTCGATATCCGTTCTATCCACAGTTGAAGGATGTCGTTTCGGAAAAGTCAGCCATCGATGGATCCGGCAAAACATAGCGTTTCATCCAGACCGAGACAACTTCTGTGATCAACATGTATGATGTGCACTTGTGTTCCTGTACTTCTCTGCTTTGCTCTGGCGGGTCAAGGATGTGCTCCTTCGGAAAGTGTTCTACTGTGATGTTCATGTCGTTTTTCCAACTTTGGAGGCCGAAAATCTTCCATCGTAAAGTGGACATGGCTGCCACCAAATGGAGCGAACCGCCCCTCTCGTTATTCAAGCGAGAAAACTGCCTAGCCCCACCAAGCCAAAGTCAGCTATGGGTCGTCCTGAGGCTGCGTTCAGACTTCGCTATGACGCGCGTTGTCGCGCTAGAGGACAGTGGCGCTCTAATGCCAAGGATGGCCATCGATCGGCGTCGGTCGCTTATGTTTCGGAAGTGGTGCACGGCATCCTCAGGAGAACCCCATCAGGCGAAGGGTCACACTTCGTCGCTGGGAAAAAGGGCCGTATCTGGCTTTAGTGGTAAATCTCCAAGCCGCGTTTGAATTCGCCACCCCCCCCCCCCCTCCTGTCGCCTAATTGAAGGTAGTTGGCGGTATCGCATCATATAACTAGTGCTTCTGATAGTCGATTTGAGGGCTCGACTGCCCGCTCTACGACAGTTTTTCAAAAAAGATGAGAAAGTCATTTCTCGGAGAAGTGTTAGTAAGTTGAGAAAACCTAGCGAGATGGTAGAGGATGGGAGAAGAGAAGGTGTCGTACCAGATGACGAAGTTCGGGGCGGGGGTGGGGAGGCAAAGTTGTTCTGACACCACTTCTATACATCACGATTATGTGCGCTGTTTGAAAGATTAAGAAATAGGGGGGCGGGTACAGGAAAGCGTCCATCTGGCGTTGAAATAGAAAGGTCTGCAGTGTGCTTGCAAAACAGCGAGCTTGTTTTTTTATAACAAAGAACCACTCAGTCTGGTACTCTGCTAATCTTCTATACTCTCCCGAAATTCCTGCGGGCGTGCCGATTGATGCCCTGTGTAGCGTCGGAAGGTCACTGCAATAGTAGCGCGTCGACGCGCTCATCGCGAAGATCTGACCGCGGTCTCTGTGGCGGTGGTTTTTGTTTTCTTGCTGTGCTCCAGGTTTTTTTTTGTTGTGATCGGGCGATTATTCGGCGTGGTTTTAACTACCTCTCCACAGGCACTCTACTACTTTTACTAACATGTCTAAAGTGGGCGTGGTTCCCCACTCGTAAGGAAGTTGGTTCTCTATGACATGAACTTTTTTGCTGTAACCAAGCCCCAAAAAGGGCGTGACTTCTCCGTTTCGGCACATTTGCAATCTTGCTACCTCTTTGGAATAAGCTCTTTCGGGTGTCAGTGTGTTTATTCATTCCTTCATATTTGTTTTTTTATATTTTGCCTTTCTAGCTCTTCTCCTCCTTGTATAAATATTCTGTATTTTTGCTTTTCATTGAAAAGTATACATTTGGAAATGTCCATGTATTTCAAGTCACTTGAATTCTGTCTCTTCACGGCAGTGTGTACAGGGAGGACCAATAAAAAAAGACACTTTGGCCGAGTCACGTTTTAGTAAGGTTTCGAGACCTAAATACGAGTATCAGGGCGGAAGCTACCCAAGAAAATACCTCGAAAAGCAGGAGCAAGTCTTCGTATCACCTTCATGTACACCAAAATATGAAGTCATCTCCAGTCGCAGCCTGACTGGAGAAGACCTTGGAATTCATGTCACCTCCAAACAGCTGCGAAACTTCTAGTATGGAGTCACCCATGGAGACGCAGTGGACACGTACCTGGGGATCGGACTCTTGATCTGGAAGACCTCCAACATCGAGCAGCTCCGACAACGTCGCTACGGTCTAGGATATCATCTTCACCGCAGTCGCCAAGGCGCGGGTTGATGGTATGGACCGGAAGACTTTCTCATGCCGATAATGCCCCACTGCCAGTAAAAACAGCTTGAGTCTTCGGAAGAATGATGGTGTAGGATGCCTCGCAACAAATATTCGATCTGTGGCTAGAAATATCTCAGTTGAGATATTCTCTCAGTACAAGAGATTGAGGAGTCGTGGCTTGTCGGAAACATGCTCAAAGCCAGCATAGAGATTCCTTCCTTACTAGGTGATATTAGGGAAAGTATGAGGTTTTTCGGTGTGATCGCAGGACGATGAAGGGGGGGGGGAGGGAGTGGTGTTGCTCTGTCATTTGAAGGCAATTGAAACGGTATTTTAACACACGGCCTAAAATGCTAGTAGAGCGCTATATAGTACGAAAATGGTGAAAAAAACGAGGTGAAACGGTCGAAAACTGCGAAGGAAAGCTTCGTTCTTAAAAAGCAATTTCGGACGAGTTTTCCGTAGGCATATTGTCAATAAGCACTACGGTAGGTACAGGTGCATGTATGTACTTATAACCATACAGCACTGCAGCCGCAATGCTTCGCTTCATACTTTACTTAGCAAATGAAGCAATGCGAGCATCAGGAACGGTCGTCCATTTGTGGGCGGGCGGGCGTGCTGGGCGTTCGGGTCGGTATGTTGTAGTTTGATAGGGCCTTGATAAGAATAACTTTCCAGGAAACGCTACAGCAGGCACCCGTTCCAGGGTCGCGGAATTCCGTCCTGCCAGGCACATTACCCATACTCGTCTTCAGGGATTTGTCGTGTCAACTGCCTTTGAGAAAGCTTTGTTCCCCGTTCTCACTTTCTGAGAATCTGTTCTCCAAAGGGTCTGGCATCGTAGCCTGTGACTTGTTGTAAATCAGTACCCAGAGGGACCGCCCAGAAACGAAATGTTGGTACTTGACTCTCTTTCGTACAGACGGAAGATGTTTGATCTCATTACTGTTTTCAAATTATTCAAAGGAAGCTAAGCATTAAATTCCAAGATTTTTTCACAGTTCGGAGCTCTAAAACCAGGGAGAAGCTTGTAGTCCCGAGACCCAAAACAAGAGTGAGGACCAGGTTTTTCACAACAAGGGCAGCCTCTCATTTTTCCAAGCTGACAAAATCATTCACACTACCAAAAAATATTGCCCAATACAAAAACATCTTGCACCGTCATCTTGAATAGACTTTTCCTCTTTTCAAATCTCGGCATGGAAAGCTCTTAATATCACTGTTTTTTCGTTTACATTACATTTCACTATGTTGGTTTTTTCTCTCTTTATTGTTGTAACTCATATGTTTGTTGGCCATCTCAAGGCCCGTGTTAGGAAGGCGCTGATTTGTAATGGAATCTGTTGGTCTTTGTTGATGTGTGTACACACATGCAATAAATCTAATCTAATCTTCTTGTGTACTCTGATCAGAATCCATCGATTTCGACCGCACGGGTTCAACTGCACTGACCAAGTCCATGTGGCGCGAAAGGGTAGGTGATAGGATGGAAAGGGGTGGCTGAATCGATCAGTGGACCTTTGCACCCATCCAGCAGGTCTCCGTTCCGCACACTATTCTGCTTTTTTTTTATTTGCAGACTATGTGCCTCATTCATGTACTCTTCTAGGATTCTGGTTCATATGGGTGCCGTAACCTTAGGGGATCATCGCAGGGGGGGCGGAGGGGGGGGAAGGGGAATCGTGTTTGATAGCTAGAGCGAGGGAGGGTCTACTAGTAATTCATCGCAATCCATTTCTAGTCAAGGTGAGCAGTCGCGCTGAGCTTGATGGGTGGAAATTTTGAGCTCGTCCACGCACTTAACCCTGTAGCAGGGGTTTAGAAGATTCCACCCACATGATCGGTGTGACCATTGCCTCGAAAGCCGTGGATTTGCCATGCCGCACTGAAATTGTACTCGTGAACTACAATTTTTTGCTAAGTTTAACTACTAATTTTCTCTGAGTGTTCTTATCAGATTACTTTTCAGACAAGGCGACAAGGGACCGCCTATTCCGTCGACGAACCTGAGTTGCGCATCCCGAGCAGGTTAGGATACCCCTAATTCTCATGCCAGCATAGTGTATAGGCGTCCTTACTAGAATTTTTTTGAATATAGATTTCAGGTGGTTTGCGGGATCTGGCCGACCCCCTCACTCTTCCGCGAGTCACCTCGCGACGCTGTAAAGGATCATAGGTACCAATACGAACGTCATTGGTTTTGTTCTTCTGCTTCACTCAACTTATGCTCTTCCCAGGTCCGGAAGGCGAGCGACCATGGTCCATGTTTCCGTGCCGTTGGGATCACGCCAGGAGTGGATCGATGGTCGCCAGTGAGCAAAGTGTCCCGTCGGTCCGTGTTGGAGTCGTCCTCCACGTCTGCATGCGGTGTCCAGGT